TTGTCACATACCTTGTACATCTTGAGGTAGACAAAAGGTTTGTTTCCCTTAAAGCACAGCCCTTTTTTTTCAAGTGACATATTCTATTGTTGCAAATCAGCCTCCCAGTCTGACACAAGATGCCTGAGGGTGGAGGAATGACTATTGCATGACTGGGGGTTGTTACTCCATTCATTAATGGTTTTTGGCTTGCATGGCCCTTTTTGTTGATGTAATAAAAGCCCCCTTGCCCCCAGCACTGCCCTGCCATGCCAGCACCGATGTTCCATGGATCCCTGGAGCAGCCTCCAGGAATTACTGGTGTAGGATTATTACGTGGGGCAGCCTCCTGGTGTGTGATTCCTTCCCAAGCAGGTTCAGCACCTGGGGATGGTGGGGTCCAAAAACACCAGAAATGGGACACAGCTCAGCAAAACTTTTTATAGAATCTCAGGATGGTGTAGGTTGGAAGGGACCTTAAAGCTCATCCAGGGCATGGGCAGGGACACCTTCCACTAGCCCAGGTTGCTCCAAGACCTGTCCAACCTGGCCTTGGACACTTTTAGGGCTGGGGCAGCCACAACTTCTCTGGGCAACCTGTGCCAGGGTCTCACCCCCCTCACAGGGAAGAATTCCTTCACAATATCCCATCTAACCCTGCCTCTGGCAGTGGGAACCATTCCCCCTTGTCCTGTCCCTGCAGGCCCTTGTAGAAGTGTGACTGATGGAGGATGGAAGGATGGATGGATGGAAGGATGGATGGATGGATGGATGGATGGATGGATGGATGGATGGATGGATGGATGATGGATGATGGATGGATGGATGGGATGGATGGATGGATGGATGGATGGATGGATGGATGGATGGATGGATGGATGGATGGATGGATGGATGGATGATGGATGATGGAGGGATGGATGGATGGATGGATGGATGGATGGATGGATGATGGATGGATGGATGGATGATGATGGATGGATGGATGGATGGATGATGGATGGATGATGGATGGGATGGATGGATGGATGATGGATGATGGATGGGATGATGGGATGGATGGATGGATGGATGGATGGATGATGGATGATGGATGATGGATGATGGATGGATGATGGATGGATGATGGATGATGGATGATGGATGATGGATGGATGGATGGATGGATGATCGATGGATGATGGATGATGGATGGATGATGGATGGATGGATGATGGATGGATGGATGGATGATGGATGATGGATGATGGATGATGGATGATGGATGATGGATGATGGATGATGGATGATGGATGATGGATGATGGATGATGGATGATGGATGATGGATGATGGATGATGGATGATGGATGATGGATGATGGATGATGGATGATGGATGATGGATGATGGATGATGGATGGATGGATGGATGATGGATGGATGATGGATGATGGATGGATGGATGATGGATGATGGATGATGGATGGATGATGGATGATGGATGGATGATGGATGATGGATGGATGATGGATGATGGTTGATGGATGATGGATGGATGATGGATGATGGATGGATGATGGATGGATGGATGATGGATGATGGATGGATGGGGTGGATGGATGGGATGGCTGGCGGGATGCGGATGGATGGATGGATGGATGGATGGATGGAGGGATGGATGGATGGATGGATGGATGGATGGATGGATGGATGGATGGATGGATGATGGATGGATGGATGGATGGATGGATGGATGGATGACAGATGGATGATAATGGATGGCTATTTCCCTCATGCAAGGATCCATGACTACCAAGCCCAGCACCAAAACACACCAGGAGAGGTAATAAATGCTGGCCTAGGAGCTGCACACAGGGACAGGGACCAGGAGAAGGACAGGGACTGGCCTATGTGTGCAGCATAGCCCTCGTGTGTGCAGGGAGGGTCCCAGGCAGTTTGGAGTAGTGGGGCTGTGGCTGTCCTCAGGTTATTTGGCTCTCAGGCACAGAGGAAAGGATTCAATCCAATCCAGGACACTCCACAGGACAGCATGTGCAGTTCAGATTTTTCCCATCAATAGTCACTGAGGTACATTTGCACTTGGAAAAGGGTTCTTTTTATACTGTATAAGCTTTCACCTTTGCTGCTGTAAAGATTCCCATGTAAAGACTCCAATGAGATCTCCTTGTATCTTCATTCCAGCAATTTGCACATGTAACCAAATCCCCTGGATTTGCCAGACATTGTGGGGTGTGCAGCACAATTAAAGAGCTCCCACAGGACCCCATGGAGACCCAAGGTCTTCACAGCCCAGATCTCCAGGAGGTGGCAGAAGAGCTTTGCTGAAGATGATGCTTGGTCTTGGCTAGGAAGAAAATACAATTCAAGCCTAAGGATACCAACAAACAGACCTAGGTTTTGCTCCCTGATCACACAGAGACTCCCACTGCTGTCAGTTGAAGCAAATCACATTTTGGAATATCAACCCAATTAACCTCAAGTTTGGGTGATAAAACAGCCCTGGACAACTGAATGAAAAAGCAAACAAGCAAAACCACCAAGGTATCTGCCTCAGGCAAACTCTGTCACTCCTTTATCCAGATCATCATTCCTAAAACACTTAGTGCTGAAGGACACCAAAAAGGCTGACACTAGTGTTGCCTCAAACCCAAAGTATGCTCCAGTCTTTTCCCCAGCCCTCAAATGGGGCATTTTAAATTCTTTATTTCCCATCAGTGTTCATTGTCTGGTTCCCAGACTGAGCAAGGCTGTGTTGCCTGGGGTAGAAATGGGCTCTGAGTTAACCTGGCAGAGCAAAGTTGGGACCATCAGACATCCTGTCCAGACCTGGCTTAACAGCCAAATTTACTTCAGCCCAATGCCAAACCTCCATATTCCACAGGGCCCAAACCCACCCCAGGGGTACCAGAGAATGAACCATTCCTTAGGTCTTCTCCATATTCCCCCTTCCTTAAGCAGCTCTGAGCCATGCAAGGCAAGGAGCTTCAGGCCCCAAAGTCCCCTTTGGCACATGAAGAAACTTAATTTTCCTCTGAAATATCTTTTTGCCCAGTTTTTATTCAGCAATTCCTGTTGAACTGCTCAAGTGCAGCTTTGATAAAAGCAAGAGGGCAGAGTGGTGTCTCCTCCACTTGCTTCCCAAAGAATGGGATCCAGCTGTGCTTCTCCCTCCTTCCAGTGAGTCCCAGTCCCTGTTTAAATGGGAAAGATCCATATAATGCCACGGGATCCCCAAATGGGATCCCTGTGGTGGGATATTCCCTTTCTCTCTGATGCTGGACAAGCCCAGAGGTCTGTGGGGCAGAGGGTTTGGGATCAGTAGGGTAGAGCAGAGTGAGTTCCTTGGTCACTTCACCTATGATGCCAATTTTAGCTCGTTTGGAAGCTTTTTCATTGAGTGCCCAACACTGAGACCCATGGGAAGATTTCAACTCCAAAAGGATTAAAAGCAGCATACGGTCTGCTCTTGGGTATTTAGGAGGTAAAAAAAATAAGGCTAATTAAGCCTATTTGCAGTATTATGTCTGTCATAAACACTTTAATTCAGTTCAAGTCAACTTGAGCCAGAAAGGGGATAAAAAGGAATAAACCCTTTAAAAGACCTGTATCTGGGAAAAGGGAAGGTCTTGGTGGCCTCTGAACAGCCAGATCTGCTCTGAGACAGTTCTGTTCCAGCACCTGAGGGAGCAGAAATCAAACAGAGCTGTAAAAAATAAAGGAGCAAACAATTCAAGGTGTGGGCACACACTCCTCCCTGAGAAGGGGCTGTTCCAACAGCTGTGAACGAACAGCTGAGTCCAGGAGATCCACACTTCAGAGCTGGAGCACATCTCACCACCTCCCGGGAGAACCCAATCCCGTGGAAAGCTCACCCTATGGATGAGCCCATCTAGACAACCCAAACCAGCACCTTCACCCATTCCCTTGCCAGTGAACCTGGATCTCAGCTCAAGGATTTCCACATTCCTTGCAGCACCACTCTGGCTGGTTTATCCCCATTGCCAAGACTGAGCACACGCAGCAGCTTTGTTATCTCAGGGACAATCCAGAGCTGCTCACAGTAGGAACACTCTGCTGCTGCTGCAGGATTAGCCAGGAAAACCCCTGGAGTAGGAAAATACACTGTCATAGAGCTGATCACCCAGAGAGGTTGTGCCACACACACATTTACCTGGGGGCTAGATCAGGGGATGCCTCATTGCCATTCCCAAAATTGCTCTGTAAACCACAGCCAAAGAGACTAAATAGGCTGTTTCTATTGTGTTCAACTTAAAGTCAACTAGGAAAACACAGCTTAAAGTCTATATAGACTGTAACAGACTGTGCTCTCTCCCCCAGGTCGCCTTCTGCCATGGCAGATGCAGAGTGTGGATAGATCCAACTTCTCAGGTCAGGGACTGTCATCTCATGACTTGCAAATTCTTCAGATGCCCCAATTCCAGTGGTTCCTAATTCCCTTTCAGAACTTTCATCTGTCATTAGCACAGGGCAGGGCTGTGGGATGTGGCACACCTCGGGCACCAGGCAAAGAGTGGTGCACACAAGACAAGAAGGTGATTGATTGATTGATTGATTGATTGATTGACTGGGGGAGAGGGGGAAGAGAGATGTATAATTGGCACCACCACCCTGGATCCACCACCACAAAATACCCCCTGTGAGGCTGCAGATGGGGAACTTCACAGCCCTCCTGTGGCACATCCACTGCCACAGAGGCAGTTCCTGGCTCCTGTGTACAGCAAAGTTAAAATGTGGTTAAAATGCCCTTGGAGTCAAATGTCCAAACTACAGACCTGGAAGATGATGGACACGAGCTCCATTTGTTTGTAAACTGGTACTTCTGAGGCACAACTCTTGCACCAAAATGAGGCTGTTCAGCAGTGTGTCTTTTGAGTTCACAGCAGAAAGGATCCAACCAGCTCCCGGGAACAGCACTGGGAATCCCCTGCTGCCAGAGTCTTTTTGCCTTGGTGCAGGAACACGGCTGTCCCTGCTGCATCAGGATCCAATCTCTGGTTTTACTGCCTCCTCAGTCCCTTAATTCTCTCCTCTCCAGGAACCAGGGCACAAACCCTCAGTATCTCAACGTCACCACCCCAAAATAAGTGCACCTGAGGGATGGAGGAGGAGGATATTCCTGAAGAGTAAAAATTTTAACTCAAGAGAGATATATGTCACTGTTTCAGTGTTTCTGCTGTCCCACATTCCCCCCCCCCTCCATTCCTCCTTCCTGATGTGACACCTGACAAAACCTCTGGTTTCCCCCGCTCCTGCAGGGGCTCTCCCTGGGCTGCAGGATGCCAACGCTGAGGACATAGGAGCACTGCACGTTTCTGGTGCTGGCCTTTGCCCTCACCCCGCAGCAGAGAATGGTGTCTCTGTCTCCTGACAGCTCCCCCGGCCTCGTCCTGCCCCTACTGTTTGCAGCTGTACACCACCTCCTCCTGCATGCACTGCTGGCACTCCACGTAGCAGCACCACTGCACCTGGCAGTGGCAGGAGAAGGTGACCAGCCTGCTCTGGGTGTTGTAGCCTCTCCCGCAGCACATGCTGTCGCAGTTGCCCTCCCTGGAGCAGGTCCTCCCCGCGGTGCCCAGCGAGTATTTGCTGGGGCGGCAGAAACTGGGCGAGTCCTCCACGTACACGAGGTCGGTGGCGCGGGGGGCCGGGGGCAGCCGAGGGGACTGCCCGTGCCGGGGGGGCCCGGCCAGCTCCGAGTGCCCCACGGCATCGTTGGTGGTGCTGAACACCTTGACGGCGTCGTCGTAGCGAAGCTTCAGCAGCCGCCCGATCTCGTGGAAGGGCGAGAGCTGCTTCCAGCACGTCCGCACGGCGCAGGAGCCCGACACGCCGTGGCACTTGCACGTGGTTTTCAGGCCGTTCTTCACTGCCTGAGGAGGAGGAGAATCATAGAATCATAGAATCATAGAATCAAAGAATCATAGGATCAGCTGGGTTGGAAAGGACCTCTGAGATCATCAAGTCCAACCCTTGACCCAACACTGCCGTGGTTCCCAGCCCATGGCACTGATGCCACATCCAGTCTCATCTTAAAAGCCTCCAGGGATGGTGAATCCATCCCTTCCCTGGGCAGCCCATTCCAATATCTGATCACCCTCTCTGTAAAGAATTTCTTCCTAATATCCAACCTAAACATCCCCTGGCAGAGCTTAAGACTGAGTCCTCTTGTCCTGCTGCTGCTTCCTGGGAGAAGAGCCCAACCCCCACCTGGCTCCCCCCTCCTGTCAGGGAGTTGCAGAGAGTGAGGAGGTCTCCCCTGAGCCTTCTCCTCTCCAGCCTCAACACCCCCAGCTCCCTCAGCCTCTCCTCACAGCACTTGTGCTCCAGTCCCTTCCCCAGCCTCGTTGCTCTTCTCTGGACCTGCTCCAGGACCTCAATATCCTTCCTGAGCTGAGGGCCCAGAACTGGACACAGCACTCGAGGTGTGGCCTCACCAGCACTGAGTACAGGGGCAGAATCACTTCCCTGCTCCTGCTGCCACACTGTTCCTGAGCCAGGCCGGGATCCATTGGCCCTCTTGGCCACCTGGGCACACTCTGGCTCCTGTTCAGCTTCCTGCCAATCCACATTCCCAGCTCCCTTCCTGCCTGGTTGCTCTCCAGCCACTCTGTCCCCAGCCCATGGGGCTGCCAGGGGTTGTTGTGGCCAAAGTGCAGGACCCGGCACTTGGCCTTGCTGAACCTCATTCCATTGGAATCAACTCAACTCTCCAGCCTGTCCAGGTCCCTCTGCAGAGCCCTCCTGCCTTCCAGCAGATCAACACTCCCCCCCAGCTTGGTGTCATCTGCAAATTTGGTAATGGTGGACTTGATCCCCTCATCCAGATCATCAATAAAGATTAAACAGAACTGGGCCCAACACCAATCCCTGTGGACACCACTGGTGACCGGATCCCAACTGGATGCAGTACCATCCCCACCACTCTCAGCTCGGCCCTCCAACGAGTTCCTAACCCAGCACAGAGTGCCCCTGTCCAAGCCATGGGCTGCAGCTTTTCCAAGAGACTGCTACGGGAGATGGTGAAGTGGTGGACTTTATCTGAGCCTAGTTCTGGGCAGAGGCAGAACCTCAGAGCACAGACAACCTGCAAGGACTTCAGTTTTATTAGTATTATTTCTATTTTATGAGGGAAAAAGTAATAGTAGTTTAAAAAAAAATGAAGCAGAGGGATGGCTACAGAGTTGACTGGTGAGCCAGAGAGTGGAAAGCCCGAATGAGAACAAACAGCTGAATACCAAATAAGTTCTTCCTAAGCCTATTTGGCCCAGTAGGAGTAAAAAAAAAACAAAAAAAAAATCCAAAATAGTATCTCCAGCATGGTATATTCAAATGAAGACAGTACTCTGATTGAACAACGAACTGGACTCAGGAAATGGGAAACAGTGATAAGCCAGTAGCCTGTAGAGGCCAAATATGGAGGCCAATAATGCCAACAGAGGCCAAAATGTTCAGTCTAATGGTCTCCCTGACCCAAAGCTGTGACATGACGAGTTCCACAGCAAGTCACCAGCAGACTCATAATTGACCTCAAGAGTGTCAGCCCTTACTCTGTCTTACACATCCCATCAGCTCTGAAGCTCTAGCTGTTCACAGAGCTCCCTGTGGCTGTGGCACAGCCCATGGAGTCACTCAACCACTGAATGTTACAGCTCTTCCTGGGCTGTGTGTTGCTGTCACACAGCCCCTGGTACCACCAGAGGATACAGGATGCTCCTCTGCCTGTCAGCATGCAGCTCCTCACACCAGAGTTCAGGAGACTTTCCAGGGAGTTCTCAGTACCAGGACACACAGACAGAGGCACTGTTGTTTGTGAGCAGGGGCAGGGAATACCCCCCTCACAAACAGCCTCAGTAGGGGATGGGTTAGAAGACTTGAGGTCACTCCCACCCTGCCAGTGCGGGTCCTCACCTTGATGCCCACGTTGGTGTTGTGGATGTCCACCTTGGCCCGCAGGTCTTTGCCAATCCTCTTCTGCCCCAGGAACTTCTTGAGGAACTTGGTGCTGTACTTGAGGTTGTCCCCGCAGACCCCCCACTGCCAGGCCTTGCGGTTCTCCAGCCCCGGGGAGTCGTCGCACGTGCAGCGCTCCATGCGCCCGGCGCTGCAGGCCCGCGCCAGCGAGTGCGTCAGGGCCGCTGAGGACACGGCGTACAGGAAGGCCGTCTCCTTGAAACCTGCATTGGGACAGGGTAGGAGCAGGGTAAGGTGTTCAGCCGCCTCTACTGGCTCTCCTGACTGTCCATGGACTAGAACAAAGCACGACAATTATAAACTCAAAGAGACAAAACCCAATGAGTGTGTGAGGGCCACCGAGGACACGGCGTACGGGAAAGCTGTCTCCTTAAAACCTGCACAGGACAAAAACACTGCTTAGCTGTGCTGCTTAGGTGAGCAAAATGGGTAATCTGGGAGTGGAAGTTTCAAAAACAAGAACAAATCTAAAAAGAAAAACCCAAAAACTAAACCAAGCCCACACCGGGTGCTTGTTGTTTCCTGTGTGCTGATTGAACTAATGGCTAGTCTGGATTTCTTCTGCAGCCTTGGACTTCTAGAGGATAAAAATAGCCTAGAGAAGAGAAGACTAAGGGGAGACCTCATTGGTGTCTTCAACATCCTCATGAGGGGAAGCAGAGGGGCAGGTACCTATACCTTCACTCCTGTGACCAGTGACAGGACTCGAGGAAACAGCATGAAGCTGAGTTGGGGGAGGTTTAAGTTGGATATTAGAAAATGGTTCTTCACTCAGAGGGTGATTGGGCACTGAACAAGCTCTCCAGGGAAGTGGTCACAGCACCAAGCCTGACAGAGTTCAAGAAGCATTTGGACAATGCTCTCAGGCACATGATGTGACTCTTGGAGTGTCCAGGAGTTGGACCCGATGATCCTGATGGGTCCCTTCCAACTCAGCATGTTCTGTGATTCTGTGTTTCTGTGATTGGGACAGGGTAGGAACAGGGTAAGGTGTTCAGCCACCTCTACTGGCTCTCCTGACTGTCCATGGACTAAAACAAAGCACAACAATTATAAACACAAAGAGACAAAACCCAGCGAGGGACACGGAGGACGGGGCAGAGGGGAAGGCAGTCTCCTTAAAACCTTTGTGGGACAAGGATTAGGAAACGGCAAGAGCAGGAAATGCAAAGTAATAAAAAGGTTGAAGACTCCCTCACTGGCTCTCCTGACTCCTCATGACTAAAGCCAAGCACAATAATCACAGATACAAAGGCACAAAACCCAGCGAGTGTGTGAGGGACATGGGACATGGCAGATGGGAAGGCAGTCTCCTTAAAACCTGCACACGAGAAGGAGAGGGAGGGGGTAGAAGAAGAAAAGGTAAAATATGGTGTTCAGCCACCTCACTGGTTCTCCTGACTGTGCATGGACTGAAAAACTAAGCACAATAATTACATTAATTATAAATACAAAGAGATTAAACTCTTTACTTGCACACCACTCTATCGGAGAAGCTCCACATCGTGTTTGAAGTAACTGGTGTAGTGACACCCCAGTCTCACCCCATGGCTGTGACTGGTTCCATACAACTTCCTTGTGAGGGGCAGAGGAGGGGCAGGCCCTGAGCTCTGCTTTGTGTGACCAGGGACAGGACCCAGGGAATGGCCTGGTGTTGTGTCAGGGCAGGGTCAGGTTGGATTTTAGAAAAAACTCTTCCCCCAGAGGGTGGCTGGGCACTGACCAGGCTCCCCAGGGCAGTGGGCAGAGCACTAGGGCTGCCAGAGCTCCAGGAGTGTTTGGATGACACTCCCAGGCACAGGCTGGGACTCCTGGGGATGGGCCTGTGCAGGGCCAGGAGCTGCACCCGATGATCCTTGTGGGTCCCTTCCAACTCAACATATTCTGTGACTCTGTGACATGGACAGGAGACCAGTCATGGATCAAGGGAGGGGTGGGAAAACATCCAACTGCAAAAAGCGACAGCCGTGAAACTCCGTTTGTGCTCACCCTCCCCATGGGCTGAGGGGTGTGAATAGAGACTGCCACCGAAATCATGGGGTGGCCCAAAATCAGCAAATATGGAGTAGAGACTGGGAAAATATTTTTAAAATCTGGCCTGTTACTCAAACATGTTTTTAATTGGGGCTGTCGTGGTATTTCCCACAGAAAGATCACGTGTAGTTTGGCTGGCAAGGGTTGCATGTTGAAGGACATCTTGGCAAGAAGGACAACTCTCCCACATGTGAGTGGGGTTTCTGAATTCCTTGGAAATTATCCACTCCCAGTGACTGTAGGGTTGTGTTCTGAAGCTGTTCTCCTCCCAGAGGAGGCTTCTCAGGATTGGTTACAATCCCTGAGGTCGTGGTGTGACCATGGCACACCAGGACATTTAACCAGGAAACAAAGTACAGGGACTGAATGGAAATTCAGCCTGGAGATGTGAGATCAGACAGGAATGGGAATGTTGATACGACACCCAGGAGCTCCACAGAAATTCTGGAAACTCGGATTGACACAAACCTGACCTAAACTCCAAAATAGTTTATTTACTCATTTATATTTACCTCTTTGTCTATTCAATCCTGGGGATAATCGTAATATTCTTTCAGCAGTTCATTTGTAGAAAAGAAAACTATTAATGAGAAATTGTTTAACAAGTCCACAATTTAGGAATTAGTGCAAGGAAGAGAGACGGGTGACTGATCAACAACTCTGAGTGCAGGAATGGGTAAGATCAGCCAATATAGAAAAAAATTGGTTTATGAGAAATAGAGTGGTGGTACATTGCAAGGAGGAAAACACATTGAAGCAAACAAATATTCCACATGGGAAAATTCCGAATTTCCTTCCACATCAGAAGGAAAATCTGTTTACCCCAATAATGGAAGAGAGAGAGACAACCACAGAGACTTGATCTAGATTTACAGTTACCTGCTTGGAGCAGAGGTTGGAATTCACCTCTAGAATTCACCAAGTCCACCCTCAGATCTTTCCCTTATTATGTTCCTTCAAAGAATTCCCATCAAACTGTAATAAGAGATCAGGCCACTGACTGCTGACATCTGAGTAACACCACCACAAATGTGACCCGAGAACAGGACACAGAGCTCTCCTGACAGTTGTCAGCAAGAAGAATGAGAAGTGTGACTGACCATGAGCACAGTGGAGAGGCTGCATTACCAGCTTCAATACACACTCCATAGGAGCTCTTTGGAATTGCAGAATTACAGGTAAAGATCCAGCAACAGTATGGACATGAGGGGAGAGTCAAAATATGGAGGAGATAAGGAGATCAACCAACCAACTCCTTCCTGCCTCACCATCTTGGTCGCTGTAAGCACTGGGACAATAATTTGCCGTTAGTCTCTCTGTTTGATGATGTTCTACAAAATTTCTCAGGGTACTGGAAAAACAATGAAAGGATGTCACCAAATCCATCAAAAGTTTTAGGAAAGCTGGTGTGGGACGCAGCCAGTACAAACTATGGACAGCAACATGGTGCTCACACATTTTCAACAGTGGCCAACCCACTCCAAAGAAGGAGCTAAGAGGGGGTGAAACATATTTGAGATCCTAAACCTGTTAAATCATTCCAGAAGCCAATCTCCAAATGCTTACCAGATTCCCAGTTTCCTCTCTGACACACTGATCCCAGAAGCAAGGAGAACATTCCAGAAGGCCTTTCCCATACCATGTGAAGGCAGCAGTCCCCGGCAGCTCCTCAGCCCCTGCTAAATCTGGCTCTGTGGAACACCACACTGCTCCTGCTATTTCTGACCAGCAATGCTTTGGTTATCCTGTGGCACTCCATGGAAGTGCTGGCCAGCTCTCAGCCCACTGGAAATCAGAGACCGTGGCTTGTGGTCAGGCCACTGCAGACAGCAAGGACTGCACATACCAAGCAGGCTTTCAAATCTCCTTCTCCACCCCTCCCACCTCCTCCTAAGACAAAGTTTCAACATCTCCAGGCTGCCAAATGCTTGTCCAAAAAGTCTGAAATGATTCCTTGTTCTTTATCCTAAGGGATAGATCACCATTTAATGGTTAATTTACAAATCACATGAGTAAAGGGAGAACTGAAAGGTCCTTCAGCCCCTGTGGAATAACAACATGCAATAGAGCAGCAGCTGGATTTTCAGTAGGACACACCACAAATGGGCAGCAATCAGCTCCAAGGAGCATGATTTAAGATCTGAGAGAGATTTCCCCATGTGTCCTGGTATCCTTCCTCCCTCTGTCACCAGAGCCAGCGGAGCCTGGAGCCGATGCTGGGCTATCAGGACCCGCTTTGGGGATGAGTCACTCCCCTGACCCCACTGACTGGGACCAAATGGAATCTGACACTTGGGGCAAGGGGGAACATCTCCATGAGATGTGTTTGCTGGGCAGTTTGGTTGCAAACATCCAGCACAGAAGGAATTTCAAGATGCTGCAGCAAACCAACCCCCTCGGTAGGACCTTGCACGGGTCCAAGTCCTCCCCTGAGCTCTCTGGGAGGATTTCTGAGCTCAGCAGCCTATAAATACAGAGAGATGTTTGCTGCAATGGCACCACTGTTGAGTGTGGTGTGCTCCAGACCACAAGGAAAACTATAACAGGAGGAGTTCAGCCATGGGCTGGTTCTGCCAAAGGAAAGATGTTCATGGGCAATGATTTTTCAGTGCTACAGTGAAGGTGAGTGTTTCAGAGCAAGTGGAGGAGGGAAAACAATCACATCAACAGACCAACCAACCAATCAAAAAAGAACTGTAGAAAGATTTAGGATAGAAGGATTCTCAAGGTCTTTAGCACAACCTCCTGCTCAAAACAGGGCTAACTCAGTGCCAGCTGCTCAGGTCTTCCCCAACTGAGTTCTCAAAATCTCCCATGGTGGAAATTCCACGTCTCTGAGCTACCACTCCACTGCTGTACCATTCCTAGATTCCTCATGGCATCAATGAAACCACTGCCTGAAGGTCAAAGAATCCAGCATGAGGCCAAGAAATGGACTGATGGATGGAAGGATCGTAGAGTGCTCATTTCCCAAGAAGGATTTTTTTGAGTGCCTGCATTTGAACTCTTTGCTCAAATTTTATTTCTCTTCCCTGAATCACCATCTTGTTTGAGATGAAATTCTGTTTGCCTGACCTCCAGCAACCTTTATGGCACTCCTGGGACACCAAATGACCATCAGTGCTTTACAAAGACACCAACTGCCACCATGCAACAGGATGGCTTGAAATGTCTCTCCAGAATCATTTTAAATCTAACTCTTACCGTGGATTTTTAAGGAAGTGGAGAAGAAGTGCAGAAGGATTTTGCATGGATCAGTGAACAGTAACAGCTGTCATAAGTGACAATGGTCACAGAGGAGTGGTAGGTTATGCAAAAGGAGTTTCCCAGTTGTATCCAGAGAAGTATCCAGAACAACAAATAGTGCAGACTGTGACTATAAATCTGGCATTTCAAGGACTAGAAAGCCCTTGGTCTTTTTGGGGTTTTCCCCATCTCCAGAAGCAGAAAAAACATTGATGATCCAAATCAGTCACAGCAGTTTGGGACTGCCAACTGTGTGGCTTTTCACCCCTCACAGTTCACTAGGACATGACCTCTCTTGCACTTGTGAGACCTTTAAAGACTGTTCAAAGTGTGTATTTTTCTTTAGGGTTTCTCTGGGACCATGGAGATATCGAATGATTTGATCATTTCTAAAACTCTTCAACTTCAGCTAAAGGAGTGGAGTCCATTGTCTGACCAACAATTTCCAAGAGATTTCCAAGAAATGTGAGAAGCAGACCAAAAGTGGCAGCTGAGAGTGTTCCTGTTCTTTGTGAAGGAACCAAACCCCTTTGGAAGCTGAAGGAAAATGAGAACCAACAACTGCTCCCAACCAAGTGTCCCCTCACCCAGGAAGGGCACCCAGCATACTTTGCTGTATTGAATCATCATTTGAGCCTTAAGATTGTGTAATAAAAGTTTTCAAACACTTCTCCTCATCTGCCGAAACAGGTTTTAAATTACAGGTGATATTTTATTTTGTCAGTCAGGAGTCCCTGGAAATGTTAAGGCTTGTCACTGCCAGATAATGAAATGTTTTGCAGCTATTTGAAGAGGAGGATTATTCAATTGTCATTTTCAAGTTCTTTGAGGCTGATGAAGGTGCAGGTGTCAGAAAAACACTCAAAATGATCACGAACAGCTTCTTCAACTAAAGAAATTTGCTTTCGTGTGCTAAAAAAAATCACAACAGAGTCTTGCAGTGAGGTAAATCTGACCTTGTATGTGCTGGTTTAATAAAATATTAACTTCATATTTAATATAATAAAAATTGATAATTTTAAATGAAAATGTTAAAAATTTTCAATCCAAATGCTAATTAAAATTTGCATTTATTTTCATCAAATTTAATTTTGGCTTGTCTGGGCTCTTTTTAAAAAAACATTAAGTTGCTAAATATTATTAAAGGACTGAAACTCAGTAATTCTGAAGAATGAAGTTTAGTAAATGCCACTAAAAGTTATTGAAGGGTTGAAAGTTGGTAACACATAATGAGGCTTTGCTTGGATCAGGACAGGTTTAGCAAAGATACTTTTACTAAGAAATGGTTTCAGTGTCTGTCTTGATTCTATTTTTCTCAAGTTCTTATAATTTGAAGGATTTGTTATGCTCCCTCCTACCTCAAATAGAGAATTTAAGGACATTTTCTTCCTCTAAAGCATTTTGGGAAACAGAAGCGAATGGCTCTTCTGTCCACTCTGAACTTCTACAAAAACTCCAAATTTATGGGAAGGAGTCTTAGGAAAGATTTGACAACTTGCACTGAAATGCAGGTATAAACAGTCATGCTGACAAACAGAAAATAGGTATAAATTTTGTATCTGAGAATAACAAATATAAATATCCGAAGACCTAAAAAGAGTTTTTTCTTAAAACATCCCTTGACATCAAGCACTGCCCCTTTTTCCCACAGTATCACCCTGATTCCCAGCTGAGGAGGATGCTCAGCCTGGGGAACTCCGGGCAAAAATCCACAAGCCAAGGGTGACAACTTCCTTCTACTCTCCAATGCATGACAAACCCTGCAGGAAACACGAGGACAAAGCTTATTTTGCGGCAAAGGGGCCCAACGCGCCCGTTCCTGGGTGAAATGGATGATCTGGGCACTCTGGGCACTCCCTGGTGCCGATCAAACCCCCCTGGCTTGATTTGAGATGGACGTTCCAGGGGCTGCAGCACCGGGAGTTTCCCTGCCAACCAACTACCTTGTACCTCTCTTGAGCAGGCTGGTCCTCCCCTCCAGGCTGCAGTTCCAGCGCTCGCTGCGGAACTGGAACTGGCACTCCATGATCCCGAGGCGGATGGAATCCCGCAGGGTCTCGGCCAGGCCCGGCTCCCGCCGGCACAGCCGCTTCTGCTTGCGGGACAGCTGGAGCAGGTCACACTGCTTGACGTGCACCCTGCCCTGGGCAGAGCCCGGGGAGGGCCCCAGTGACGGGAAGTGGGTCAGGGCTTCCTTCCCGGTCAGGCTGAAAGGAAGCAGGAAAAGCAGAGGTTATGGATCCTTCATGGTCACGGTACCAAGCCTGGCAGAGCTCAGGGAGTGTTTGGGCACAGGGTGTGACTCTTGGGGATGGGCCTGTGCAGGGCCAGGAGTTGGACTGGATGATCCTTGTGGGTGCCTTCCAGCTTGGCATATTCTGGGATTCTCTGAAGGCCAGGTGGGACAGGAGCTCTGAGAAACCTGCTCTAGTGGAAGGTGTCCCTGCCCATGGCGGGGAGTCGGGCTCAGTGGCTTTTAAAGGTCCATTCCAACCCAAACCATTTGGGGATTCTACCATGATTCTCAAATGGCAGCCATGGAAAGGTAATTGGAGGGCAGGATATTTGGAAAGCTGCAGCTCCTGGTACTTTACCAGCTCAGAAGATTAATCACTAAAGATTAGATCTTGTATCCCATCTCCACCACACACCAAGGCAAAGTACCACAGCAATGCTGTGGGGAGGAAGGAAAAACAAGTGTGTTGTCTCCAGCAACCCCAGGTGGGAAGGTTCTCTTGGCTCCGTGACAGGGTGACAAGGATGTGGAGGGGACTGGAGCATCTCTTGGGAGCAAGGAAAGCTGAGGGAGCTGGGGCTGTTCAGCCTCCAGAGTAGAGCCTGAGAGGGGCCCTCCCACCGTGTGTCAGGGGCTGCAGGGAGGGGGCAGAGGCTGGCCCAGGCTCTGCTGGGGGGGCCCAGCAATGGCACAGGAGGAACGGGCAGGAACTGATGCCCAGGAAGTTCCCCCTGGACAGGAGGAAGAACTTCTTTGCTGGGCAGTGACCCAGCACTGAACAGGTTCTCCCAGAGTGGGTGTGGACTCTTCCTCACTGGAGGTATTCCAGACCCCTCTGGACACAATCCTGTGCCCTGTGCTCTGGGATGGCCCTGCTTGAGCAGGAAGATGGGACCAGCCACCGTCCTTTCCAACCTGATCTATTCTGGGATCCTGGGATCCTGTGACATGTCTACACCCCTTCAGCTTGTTTTCCTTGCCAGTCACAGAGTGAGTTCCCAGTTCCTTCCGGTGTCCCATACAGAGATCCCGTGGTGCTGCAGGTCACAGCTCTCCAAAAAGCACTAACCATGTCCTTCCCAGGATTTGTGCCACTGGACATACTAGGAAAGCCCAGTGGGGAGGCAGTACCAATGACCACCTTTCTACAGCAAGCATGAGTTTTGCTGGAAAACATATTCTTGCTGAAAAAATAAAGGAAAGGTCAAAAAAAAATGTCCTGTCAAATGTAACAGCAATGCACTTACGTGTTCAGGTAACTCAGCTGGAAAATGCAACAAATTTTTGAGACAAATGTTTTCCCTTTTATGGCAAGACAATATTTTTCTTGCAAAATTTATCTTTAGGATGCTTGAAAACACAGAGAAGTTATTTTACTTTGATGCGAGATTTGAGGGCTGCAAACACACTGGGAGCAGCCATGGGATTGCACAACAGGGATCTGGTGAAGCCAGAGCCAGAGGGGGAAAGCTGAAGTCACAAATTCAGAGCTTGAGCAGACACAGTTTAACTCAGGCCTGTTGAGCTCCCCCTGCTTTGTCAGGGGCTTTGATGCATTTCAAGTAGAAGCTGTAAAGCCAAGACTGAGCTCTCCTGTAGCTCAGGGGTGTCTGATTCCCATCGAGGGCTGACTCAGGAAGGACAATGTGGTGCAAAAGGTATTGCTTAAATCTGCATGAGTGTGAAAGGGAGAAAAGGTGGCACCTGATTGCCAAACACAGGATCACAGAGTGCCCCAACCCCCACCCAAAAATACCAAAACCAGATCAATGGAAACGTCCTGGAACCTTCCCTTTTGGACACATCTCAGCCCCATCGTTAACATTTGCAGACAACACCCTCCCCCTCTCCCAAACCATGTGGTTTTCTGTGCAAGTCCACAGGTAGTTTAGGGAGTACAAATGGAAGAGCTGGTTGGTTCTTGCTCCTCTCCCCCACTCAGGCAAATCGGGCTCTGCTGTGGGAGCCAGACCAGCAGAGCTGGAGAGGGAGGGATGTAACGAGGAGCCAGCACTGGAGCATTCCTACGAGGACATCCTGGCCACTGGCACTGCCACCAGCAGTGCAGGGACTCTCCGTGCCCTTCCCTGCCCAGCCCAGCACTTGAGCAACACAAACCAGGTGGAGATGGGCAATAAGGTGGTGCTTCCAGCAACTTGTTGGTACCAAACAAGCCATTCCCCCCAGTAATGCACCAGTGAGACTTCATCTCTGCACCATTCCCAGGCTCCTGGTAAAACATGGCTCTTCCCCAGTGGAGTTGTCCAACAGTCTGACTGTCTGTGTCTGCGGGTGTATGTCTGGCACAGCCAATGTCTGGCACAGCCAATGTCTGGCACAGAGAGGAGAAGGAAGTCTGTGCCAGTGACCAGGACACGTGTCCACACTGTCTACCACACTCCAGTCCACATGTAAAGACTTTTATCCCAGGGAGGTGACCAAGATGGGAACTCACCTGGCTCCACAGCAGACATTTCTAACCCTCAGCTGTTCAAATAAGACCATACTCGTGTCAGGGATGTACCTTCGTGCTGGAGGATGCAAGTCAAGCACTGCAGCTGTGATTTGAGTCCTCCAGACACTTCACAGATATCTGTTTTCGAGATATTTGTCTGGGTCTCCCTGGAGTCAACCCAGTCTATCCAGGCACTGGAGTTAGAGCCCAGTTCAGACCTAACCCCACAGCTCTCTGCCTCTGTTCTCACAGGGCCCTACAACCTCCGGGTGTGCTCACACATCCTTAACTAGGAACAAATGCAATTAACTGACACATGGAATCACCCAGAGACCTGCAAACTTCCCAAGAACAAGGAACCTTGTGAATCCCACAGGAACCCTGAGATGAGCTCGGTTGGTCAGAGCATGGTGCTAATAATGCCAAGGTTGTGAGTATGGACAATTCACTTAAGAGTTGGAGTTGGTGATCTTTATGTGTCCCTTCCAACTCAGAATATTCTGTGAGCATCGAACCTTAGAAACCAAGTGGGTGAGAAGAATCTCATCAGGGATGTTCAGACTGTCCAACTCAGTGGGACAGTGCTGGCTCAGAAGAGGTGTTGCTGTTATATCAGCTGGGAGAATAACAACACTCACCCAGAGCCCTGGACTTTGCCTGGTAGTGGGATTTCAGCACCCACATCCCAGGAAAGTGCACTTGCCAACAAGTGCAGTGTGAGATGTGGTTCCTTTCCATTTCCATGCACTCTCTGTGCTCCCGTGCACCAAAGTTTCCCAAGTTCACAGCACAGGGAGAAGAAATAAGGAGGGAACTGACACTGAGGAGTCTGAGAGCCTGATATAACAACACTGAGATCATTCATTGCTTGAAAGCCACAGACAAAATCTTTTGAAATTCCTTTATACCAAAACACTGCCTGTCCACATACCATCAGAACTGCCAGGCATCCAACCTCCTGAGAACAGACAGAGCACACAGGGCTGGAGTCTGTAGGCAAACAGCAAAGCAAGAGCTGTAGGGTGAAAGCTAAAGTCCCAAAGTCAGACCTTGAGCAGACACAGTTTAACTCAGTGAGCTCTCCCCACGTTTGATGCGTCTTGAGCAGCAACTGCAAAGCCAAGACTCTGAGCTCTTCTGTAGCTCCGGGGGTTCAGGGGGTCTCTGATTCACATTGAGGGCTGACAGGAAGGAAAATGTGGTATAAAAAGTATTGCTTGAGTGTGAAAGGGAGAAAAAGGTGACAAACATCCTCAAATTTTTACAAGAGATTTGATGAATGACACAGCACAGGGGAGAGCTGAGAGAAACTCTCAGACTAGAGTAGAATTAGTGGGCGGAGGTTGAATACAGAACAGGGGAGAAGAGGCAACACAGCTTTGGAAAGTGGTCAGGCCTCTTAAACCTGCTGTGAAGGAGCCACTGAACAGACAGACCAAGGACAAGTCAAATTCTACCATCTTGTAAAGTGGACAGATTTCCAGAAGAGCTTGTGTATGAACACAGGTAGACTGGATATCTCCCACAGTTCCTACCAGGAGAAAAAGGAACACAAGGAGAACACAGGGCTTTGAAAGCAGGACTGCCCTGCAAGTGAGTAAAGATTATTCCAACCTGTAATATACAAGAACCAGGAGGAATTATGATAATTTATGAATTGACAGACTAAAGCTAAATGAAATGGGACACAGAGGCTGCAGTTAGACTTGAAGCCCTTCTCAATGCAGGGCACAAGGAATAATAAGTATCCAGATATTCATGCAAACCATGGAAGAAAAATTCATAAAGGACCATTAAACACAAAGATACTTTGACAGAGGAAACTCTTAAGGTGCAAACTGTCAGAAACTGGAGAGGATTCTGAGAGAGCATCTCTATCTGCTGTTCTGTGCCTTTTTATGCTCTTGCCTTCACATTTCTTACTCCCAGTGCTGACTCAGGTGGTGAGGCCACATGAGCCCTTGGTCTGAGCCAGGACAGCTGTGCTACAATCCTGGGCAGAGATTATCTCAAGAATGGTCCACCAGTGGCCAGTGAGATTTGGGAGAAGGTGATTTTGCCGTTCTCCAGGCCCTGAAGGATGTTGGGTGCTAATATTTGCGGAAAACCCAGACAGAATAACGACAGGCACCCTAAAACCTTTGAAGAATTTGATGCCATTTGCAGAGCAATCTTAATAGTGCAGAGCAAACACAGCCTGGGACCACACACAGAGCAGAGATACCAAGTTTAATTCATCCTTTACACCATGCAAAGTGAAAGCTTCATGGGAAAAACACTTCCTAAAACTGAATCCAGCAACACTTTAAATTCTGACAGAGGTAATGCAGCATCCTACACAAAGAGCTGGTTGCACAGGCAAACTTACACACACAGAGAATCACAGAATATTCTGAGTTGGAAGGGACCTACAAGGATCATCAAGTCCAACTCTTTAGGGAATGGCCCATTCAGGGATCAAAGCTGCAACCTTGGTGTTATGAGCACCACGCTCCAACCAACTGAGCACATCTCAG